GTCCTGCAGTGTGAACGTAGCCAATCTGTGGGATTGTTCAGTCAGATAATACGCCGTCATCCTGATTGGTGACATTAAATGTCATGTCGGAGTCACAATCCAAGGCTGATGGAACTTTCTACTGTCCAGTGACGACCTTATTTGTCCTTCTTAAATTAGCCCCAACTGTTTCTAAAATGACATGTTTTTCAATTAACTGACTGTATCTATCAATGCAAATAGTTTGGATTTGTTCTTTTTTTTTTGGGAGGGGCTTTTGGATATAAATAGCAATTCATTTGTGAAGTTAACAGCACTAAAATATGCAATAGAGTTGACTACATAATCAGCAGAAATAAGCAGTGACACAGAGCTCCAGATCAACTTCTTCCACTAGACACGCTGCTGCAACCAACTTTCTCATTTAGTCGCACCTTAGCACAGGTAAAACCCCTCACATGCTCAACATCTGCTTATTGATAGATGCTTTATATATATATCTTGATATGCCTCACTGTGCAGGCTGCGCTAGATGCTGTTAGGTCATTGCGGTGCACACACACACACACACACACACACACACTTGGCTTCATTCATGCTGCTGTATGCTTTGCTAACTGTCCTTTTAAATCTGAACACCATCAGGCCTCCAAATATCAAGTTGTCCCAGTCTGACAGGATGCAGACGCTGCACACAGAAGTGGAGAGAGAGAGAGAGTGTGTGTGTGTGTGTGTGTGTGTGTGTGTGTGTGTGTGTGTGTGTGTGTGTGTGTGTTGGACTGTCAGCAGTGAGTGTATTCTGGGTTTGTGTGTGTTGTGGATGCTGTGCTGGAGCAACAGCTACTCCTGCTGGCACACCGCCGTCACTGCTGCCGTCTCTGCCTACTGTACCCATAATGCCACAGGGCACGGTGCCTGATTCAGTCTGCTTGTGTGCCTGTGACTCAACATCAGTCAGACAGAAGCATATTGTACATTTTGACTTGAAGCTGTAGTGACTGCTGGACCATAAACACATGTATTGAGTGCTGATAAAATAGGTGTAAAGCATTCATATAGATGGAGCGACATTCAGTTTCAGGTTTTAGGTTTTTTGCTGGCGTTTTTCACAACGTCCGCTTCAGAAAAGGTTTATACCTGCAACCTACAGTCAGACTACTCTCACATGAATCCTTTCATGATCCGTCAGATTTAAAGGTGGCCCTTTGGAGGGGCCTGAACCTTAGGTTAAGCACCATTACTGTACTGTACAGCGTATTTTAACTCAACCGGCTACAACAATAAAATCCTGCTCATGCACTGGCTCAGGTGGTGCCGTGCTTGTCCTCTGATTGAGAGGTTGCTGGTTCGATCCCCTCCACAGTCAAAGTGTCCTTGGGCAAGACACTGAACCTAAAGTTGCTCCCGATGGCAGGCAGCAGCTTGCATAGCAGCTCTGTCACCATTGGTGTATGAATGTGTGTCCAAATGAGTGAATAAGAAACACATTGTAAAGCCCTTTGAGTCTGAATCTGACAGATTGCCAGGCTGGCCACGCCTCCAGGAAACCACCAGCTGATAAAGACACGTCACCACAGACGTCAGTGACATTTCTGAGGAAGACTGAAGTGACAGTCAAAACATGTCGAAGGTAGAAAACAGCTCCTACCTAAAAAATACTCAGTCTGATAAAAAAAAACAACCTTATACCTAAAACAGCGCTATGCAAGTGCAGACCATTTACTGGCTGTATTAATCTAATAATATCATGTAGACGGTCCTCACTGTGTGCACTGAACTCTGTCTAATGTCAGTTTGTTTGCATCTGAACTTCACCTTTAAATTATAATCTAAACATACTACATCTTTGCAGTTCAGTTCATTTCCACACTCAAACATTTAAAACCTTTAGAATTAGAGAAATTAAATTATTAAATGGTTTGGCATCAGAATAAAAACAGCTGAAAAACACCAATACAAAGATTTTGGGGTTTTTTTTCCATTTATTCGCCTTTTTCTTTGAATGATTTTTAATGTGGAAAACACAGAGTACAACCTTTTAAACATGGAACCATCTGACATTTTAGGATTATTAAACATTTACCACGTTGTTGTGTTGCAGGTCAAATTAAAGCACATTTAACTGTAAAACATTCCATTAAAAGTCTTCAAAAAGTCTCTCTGTCTGCCAGTAATCAAGCCACACTCACCAGGTAAATCACAGACAGCTGCAACTATCAGCTCACCTGAACCTAATCCCCACAGCTCCCTTTAAGAACCAGCTCTTCCCTTCACTTGGAGCCAGCTCGTTGTTCCTTTTACCAGTTTCACAGCCGTTTGTCAATTCATTCTCTCAGCCAGCCTTCTCCTGCCGCTGTCCTCCATCCTGGATTTCCCAAAGCCTGCCTTTACTCATAAATAAACTTATTTTTGACCTTAATCTGTTCCTGTCTGCTCTGGTCCATCATGCACTTGGGTCCAAACCTGAACCGTGACCAGTGTAGTTTCTCTGAAGCTTTCTGACATACTGAGTAAATTATTCACTGCGTGGTCACATCAAACAGGAAGAACATGGATGTAGTATGTTGTGCTTCAGGGAGACATGATTGTGTCTTTGTACATTTTAAAGTTCTTGAGGTTTGAACAGTTTGTCGTGATGGATTCATCACTGGGGGTCACAGGCGTGGAGAGGATGCTGAGTCATTATTGGCCCCAGTATTGACTTGTTATTCTCCTAACCATACCTGGCCAGGTCATAGGCTTTTTCCCCCACTGTGCTTTGTGCATCACTATCATGGTGGATCATTCCTCCTCTGCAGCCCCACATCATGATGCTGCCACCTCTGTGCTTCACTATCAGGACGATGCATCCACTGTGGTGGTCCTGGTCAGGTTCACACCAAACATCTGGACTCCATCTGAGCCCAACACACTGATCTTCATCTGACCAGAGGATGTTCTCCAACATCCGTCAGGCTTCTTTTAATTTCCAGTAGCAAAGTTTCATCTCACAGTTTTGTGCTTAAAAGTGGGGTACAAAAATAAATGAATACATTTTATAAATCACCGGTGTGCGATCATGGCTCTACTAACTTGTCAGTGATCAGGTTCATTCATCTTTGTTGCACTAAGTTTCTACTTTGGGCATCTGTATTTTCTGCAAAGTCTTTCTTGTGTATTTGTTTTTGATTTTTCATTAAAGGAAATATTCACCTTGTAAACATAAACTGTGTAGACCTTAAGATGTAGGTGGTGCATTGCTGTCTCACTTGATTTTTATTGATATTGCACATATAGGAGCACCCACTGGCTGCACAGAGCGGTCAGCAGGAAGCTGCTCTTCATGTGGAGCGCCACCTTGTGGCCACAGCTTAGAAGAGTTTGACAGTAGTTCATGTTTGTGCAGGCACATGACCTGTAAAGGGCAGCATACAGAAAAATAATGAAAATCTAAAAGGACATGAAGGTGTATTGTATTTTTAACAAATAAGGAGAAATGAGTGGTAATCCACAGTTTGTTCGGTGGTCGGGTTGCCGTGTGTCTTACATTCAGAGGGTCTGTCCATGTCCACCCAGGCTCAGATAAAAACCTGGTTTAGACTCACACACACAGGGGTCCATTTACAGCCGTATAACCAGGAAAACGTCGTCATTTTTGTCGTTTCCAGTCAGGCATTTCTTGGACGCCTACTGGCTGTCAGACGGCCGGGTCCTCGCGGGTCCTTCCTGCCCTGAGCCGCTCCGCCAGCCGCCTGACACAAACCGAGCGCCGGAGAAAAAAGCTCGAATCACCGCGAAATCCTCCAGAAAGCCACCGGGTCGAGAGTGATGATGGGCGGGAGGACGAGCGCCATAGCGGCGGGGCTGTGCGGGGCTCTGCTCGTCGGCTACTGCATCTACTTCGACAGGAAAAGACGGAGTGACCCCAACTTCAAGAACAGGCTGCGAGAACGTGAGTGTTGACCTCCGTCCTCCCCGTCACCAGGCCCGGAGCTCGGTCCGGGTTCCGGTCCCGCTCCGGGGCTCCGGAGGTTCTGTAGTCGCGGTACGAGCCGCTGAATGAGCCGGGTCAGCCGGTCCGTCCAGCTCAGTGTTGGTGCTGTTCGTGACGTGACGTGAAGCTGGACACGTCCGGCACACGGGTTCTGCCGAATTATTCCATCAAGCGGCTGCTGACACACTGATGTCCTGGTTTCACCTGAACCCAACACCGAGACACACTGACACAGAGGAGCAGCTCCCCCGGGTCTGGACCGGACCGGGGCATCAGTGAGCCGCT